TCCAATAGTTTCAGCTCAAAAGGAATCCTCCTCCATTTTCCGGTGATACCAAATTACAATTGCCTCCTAAGAAATTTTTGCTTCAAAATAACAATAGAGGATTACAAGATCACAAATGGGTTCTTCAAAATCCAGCTTTATTCATATATACGGGATCAGGTGGATTTATTGGTAGTCACGAAAACAATACTTAATTAGAAAAATAAATTATAGTAGTCGATTGTTATAGCAGATATAGGTTTGCTTAATCGAAGAGGCCTGGCCTTCTTTGAAAACTCACATTTGCTCTATGACCCAAAAGGTGCTCGTGGCAGTGTAGCCGAGTGGTTCGGGTATCAAGCACCCATCCTGCACTGTCACGGTTCGACTCACGCTGGGGGTGTTGATGAGACTGATGCGAGGTCGAAACGGCAGTTAACCCTGTTAACCCTGGGAAAGCAAGCTATGTGAAATTCAATGGAAACGTCAGCTCAACTCATATCATTGTCGGAAAATTCATCTTCTACCAGTCCTTCATCACCTTAAACAAAATTGGGTGAATACATTACATATTACTGATATACTGGCAGTCACGAAAACAATACTTAATTCGAATAATAAAGTTACATTTGAGTATGAGCGCAGCTATTTGTGTGCAGTAGCGAAAGGCTCGCTGGTCGAAGTGGAGAACACGCTAAGAAATGCTCAAAAAGTTTGAAGATTAGACTGAGTATAAGTGTGACTTAAAGGCATCCAGTCAGACGCGAGGGCTCAACCTAGAAAGCGTTCAAGTGTAGTAGTAAACTGAAACAAGAGTTAAAGATTATAGAAAATTATGCTTGATAGTAACCTGGTATAATTTTGACTGAATTGAAAGCATCATGGTTTCTATCAAGATACCAGAAGGAATCTTTGTATTCGGACCAACCGCGGTCCTCGATCGCACAACAACGAAGGTGTGTCTGCAAGTGATCCCAGGCTTTGGTGACGACACCAACACGCCCATAGTTTTGGAGTAAACTGTTCTGCAAAGCAGATTTTGCAAGGTCCATAAACTAAAAATAATTGAGATAAAATAGGATGACTATATATCCGTTGAATCAGCTAATTATCAAGCAGTTATTTACCAGACGAATATGAAACTTAACGCAATATTTCATCATTTATAATTATAATATATTTGGAAATTGCTTATGCCTATAGGTAAAATAATATAAACCGGAATTAGAAGAACATAAATTAGAGATACAAAGCTTTCGTGGAGCAGTTAAAAACATTTTGATTGATACATATTATTTATTGACGAACACTACAGGCACCTACGCCATCCATGCCCGTCGGATATTATGTGAAAGGGACGGTCACTAAATGTGATAAAGTCATATTTTATAGTAAAGGAAAAGTTGTTTATAATAAATGAGGTTTAGAAATGAAGCGATCTCTCCATGCCTTTATTTTGATTCATGCAAAATGCTTTTTAGAAGCATCATTTTAGGAAAGTGGAGTGGATGGGCGACTACCATTCCTGGATGGCTAAGTCATCCAGAAAGACATCGTATACATGAATAGTACTCAATCTCCGGTCTCTTTACAACTACAATTGAAGATTGACCTAATGAGCAGCACAATTAAAGAAGGCTAAAGCTAACAGAACTGGAATTCTGGGATGAAGAATAAAGAAATTGACTTGTAGGTTTCTCACAATGGGTATCTGCTAGCAAGCATAGAAAGAAGCATAGAATCGTGTAAAGCAGGTGGTGGCATGCTATGGAATACAAAAAGAAAATAAAGATAATTAGGACGGACGAAAGTAGATATTCTTACCGATATTATGAAATTTAACTTATTACATGGTTAAGAAAAATGCAACATTTCACAAACTTACCGACGAAACATAAGATTGGAAAATTGGATTGTTTGTGACATTATTCTAGACACGTTTAGCAGAAGACTACTGGCAAAAGAAGAAAAATCGGCATACGGGTCAAAGAAAACCATAGAATGTGCAGAAACATAGCTAAGGAGCGACTAGAAACAACGGAACACATTGCAAGGACCGGACACGGGATAAACTGTAAAACAACAGAAACATGGACATCATATGTTGAAAAGTATAGGAAATAAAAGATTAAGAAAGCCAATGATATCGGTGCTGAGTGAAATCTAGCAAACATTAGGTTGCAAAAAGACAGAATTAGCTAAACCTTTGCTTATTGCTCATTGATACTGTTATCAAACCATAAACTAAGAAAAAGTAGTCTCATGGATAAGGGATCGTAACGAAGAGACTCGCGAAGGACAATGGGATATAAAGAGAAGACGATTGCAATGAGTGTAGTCAACCTGAGTGAGCAGCCGCAAAATGTATGGGAATGGCGCACAGGAAAACAGGGATATGAATACTAACAACACTCAGGAAGTTGCCATCGTGGATAGAAAAACGCAACCGGTGAAACTATAGATCAACGTGAGAGATGGAGTGTATGCCAGAGAAATAACTTTTCAATTGTCTTAGAGTGCACAGGTTAAATCACGGAAGTGGTCTGTTAAAAGGACGCCTGATTATATAATATTTATCAAACAAATACATACCGAACAGCGACAAGTTGCTAGGGGACATAATCAGCAATCTCGAAAATTAAGGACTTGGAGCCCGGCTCGGTGAGGCCATTACACGTTTGAGGTAGACCATGAGGGAAAACGGATATGATGGATAGGGTTGAGTAAAATCACTCGAGCAATAAGACAAGAAATGGATCCTTAAGGGCATGAGGAAGGCGCTGATTGGAGTTTAGATTAAAAGAATCAATTCTGATGAGCAATTTCGGCATATAATGGGGGTTGGAGAAGGAACCAGCGGAAGATGTGACTATTCCTAGCTAAATTAGTTCAAAGGACATATTATTAGAGCATCCTCGAATAAACCAGTTATAAATTGTTGAAGAGAGGTAG